TGAGTCAACATTTATACCCCGAACCCCCGATACCCGCCCTCTTCGTCTTGGATCATATTCCCTAGGGGGATATTTGTCACTACCTGTCACGTGGGGTTGGCGCAACCCCTAAAACAGGGGAAGAGAGGAGGGAACGGACAAACGGGAGAGAAGGGTGGAGCACGACAGAGATTAGCAGGGGCGGGGTTAGGAGGAGAAAACAAGCGGTAGAACCAGACTAGCGGGTCGGGCCGGCCGACCCTTACGGGCGGATCGGGTGGGCGGGCCCAGACGGCGGGGTCGAGCGGGAAGGTCGCTGAAGCGTCAGTATTGGATGAGTCGCGAGGAAGTCTCGAGCGACAGCGCCATTCCCAAAGAAATCGCAGCGAGTTCTAAAGCGAGACAATGATTCCTGCATGAGTGTCGGGGGCGCGGCGTTACAATGAAGCGCGAGGAAGTACCACGCGAGAGCGCGACTCCTGGATACATTGTGAGGAAGTCCCGCGTGAGAGCGCGATTTCTGAATACACCGAAATAAAGTAGCAAGCGGGAGTTGCTGTTCTTGTAAACCTGGGGCCGGGGGAATAGCTTGAGCCCCACGTTTTGCCCTGCCCCAAAAAAGTCTGCAAGCCCCGGGGGAGGCTCTTCTATGGAAAAACGCAGTGGGCACCGGGGAGGGGGGATCAACTTCACAGATGAGAACTCAATAAGTTCAAGACTGTTCGCTCTTCGATGGTCGCGTGAATGTATACCCCAAACCCTTGATACCCGCCATTTTCGTTTTCGATCGTACGTGCCACCTCTGGGGGGTAATCTTCCTTGTGCGCCGCGTGTGGTCGGCGCGGCCCCTGGAGCAGGAGGGGGGTGAGGAGGAGGAGGAGGAGGAGGAGGAGGAGGAGGAGGAGGAGGAGGAGGAGGAGGAGAGACACGGAAAAGTGACAGAGCGAGGGAAGGAGGAGGAAACTAAAAAGATAGGGAGGCAAGAAGGAGGGAGGAGGATTGCGGGCGAAGAAGATTTTGCAGAAAGAGAGGACCAATACTTTTGTCAAGCGGGCCCTGACGGCCGGGTCGGGCGGGCTGGCCCGAACGGACGGGTCGGGCGGGCGGACCCTAACGGGCGTGTCGGGCGGACGGGGCATTCAAGTGGGTTGGAGGGCTTCAAGCTCGCGGACGGGCTGACTCTGACGGGCATGTCGGGCGGGCGGGCCCTGACGGGCGGGTCGGGCGGGCGGACCCTGACGGGTAGGCCAGGCGGGCGGACCCTGGCGAGCGGGTCGGGTGGGACATTGCAGCGGGCGGGTGGGCTTCCAAGCGCGCGGACGGGCGGACCTTGACGGGGGGTCGGACGGGCGGGCTCTGATAGGCTGGCCAGGTGGGCGGGCCCTAGCCGGCGGGTCGGGCGGGCGGGGCATGGAAGCAAACTTCTGGTTAATTGCGAAGAAGCTTCAGGCGAGAGCACGAGTCCTGAGTAAATGACAAGGGCGTCTCGTGCGAGAGGGCGGTTCCAGACGTCGAGGGCGCGGCGCTTGAATAAGTTGCAAGAAAGTCCTGAGCGAGAGCGCGACTCCGGAGTCAATAGCAAGGAAGTGCCAGGCGTGAGCGCGATTCTCCAATAAACTGTGACGGATTGTAAGGCGGGGGCCATTGTTGTAGTATACCAGGGGCCCACAACCTTGTCTGAGGCACAATACTTTCCCTGATGAAGCCAGGTGCAAGCTCCGGGAAGGGGCACTCGAATATAACTTGATGTGCACCGAAGCGGGGGATCAGCAATAATTGTTCTTCCGAAGTGAGAGCTCAGCAACTACAACTATCAAATGAAATTATTCACAATGGTTCGATATGCACCGTGCGTTCATCATGAGATCTCCCTCTTTCATGGGAAGGGTACTCCATGCATCGAGGGGCCGATATTCCCGTACTCACATCTCCCGCCCGAAAACGTTTCGCCAACACCTCTTCCAAGGCACTTTACCACTTTTGGTTCAGATATGTGGGGCCTCCTATGGGCCGTCTTGGCGCCCTCTTGGGCTGTCTTGGGGCTATCTTGGGCCGTCCGAGGGCCTCTTGGGGCGCCCTTGGAGGTTTATTGGCGCCTCTTCGGGTCCCTGGTGGCGACTCTGCGGAGGCCTTTTCGGAGCCTTCCTGGGGCCGCCTGGAAGCCCTCCAGACGCGATGGCGAAACGAGGGCTCCACTCTTGAGTTAAAAGTGAGGAAGTGTAGAATGGGAGCGTCATTGTTGTAGAAGGGGGCCAGTTTGCGGCGCCAAGGCACAAGCGTCATTCTTGATTCACGAGCCACAGACTATCAAGCGAGAGCGCTGATCTTGTTTTTGGGGGCCAGTTTTCGGCGGCAAGCAAGTGCGCCAGTCTTGAGCAGAAAGCGAGGCAGTGTCGAGCGGGAGCGTCTTCGTTGTAGGGGGGTGGGGGGGGGGGGGGGGGCGAATTGCGAATGCAAGGCGCGAACGCCATTCCTGAGTAAAAAAGCGAGGGCGTGTCGAGCGGCAGCGCTGGTTCTGTTGGAAAGCGGGCTTTCGGCGGCGAACAAGAGCGGCGCCAGCCTCGAGTTTTAATCCAGGAGCTGTCGAGCGGGAGAGTCGTTGTTGTTGGAGGGCCAGTTTGCGGATCCCAGGTGGGAGCGCTACTCAGGGGGGCACGCGGGAGGTCCCAGGGGGCACGCGGGAAGTCCCAGGAGGCACGCGCCAATCCCAACGAGATTTCGGAAGTTGGGTTGGGGGCCCCTTCAAGACTGCTCAGGAGTGAGGATTGCGGCTCCAAGGGGGTGGCAAATGACCTGACGACGCCCACCCCGTGCTCAGAGGCACGGTGGCGGACATTCAACAGTCAACAGCAACAAACACAGCAGGAGGCGGAGGAGGAGGAGGAGGAGGAGGAGGAGGAGGAGGAGAAGGAGGAGGATGGTCTTTGACGGTCTCTGATGGCGCCGCGCTGTTGGCCGCGCGGCCGACGCGCGGCGGGCACCATGCGCGCGCGCGGTGCGCGCAGGGCGCCCAGCAAGGCCGACCCGACCCGCCAGCCCCGCGCCTGCACCGAAGCCTCGGGACGCGGCGCTGACAGCACCGGCCAGCCCTCGCCTCTTCCTCGGCGGCCCTGCCCCGCTGGCCAGCCTCTCGGCCTCGGCGAGCTTCTCCGCCCGCTGGCCCTCCTGCACCGCCGCCGCGCCCAGCCTCCCCCAGGGATCCCGCCCTCACCACGGCGGCCCCGAGGTCCGCGACAACGTCATCGTTCGTGTCGCCGCCGCCCGTGGCCTCCTTCCTGGACCCTTCTCCGAGGCCTCCGCCCGCGGCCCCTGAGCTGGGGACCGCTTCCAGTTGACGACGACGTGCGTTCCCCTGCAGCGGGCTCCCCGCATCCTGCCTCGTGGCCTCGATGATGTCCTGCACCTCGCGGGTGGCCCCGCCACTGTCATTGTCCTGGCCGCCGCTGCTCTCCTGCACCTCCTGCCCGAAGCCGGGGCAGAACTCCATCAGCCGCGCCTCCAGCTCCCGGTGAGCTTCGTGCCATTCATCGGCAGCCTCGCTCACGCCCCCTCGAGCTCCTGCAGGCGGCGGGCCACCTCGGCAATCCTCTCCTCCATCACCTGGGCGGTTTCGCCCTTGGCCACCTGGCCCTTGGCGCCGTCCGCGCCCTTCGCGTCCGAGACGGGCTCGAGCTCCGCGATGCCCCGCCTGCAGGGACGCCCCCAGGGCAACCCAAGCAGTCCCAACGAAGCCCCCCCAATGGAGGCCCCAGTGCAGAGAAGGGCCCCAGAAGAGGGCCCCAGAGGAGGCCCCAGGCAGGCTGGCCCCCAGGGGCGGTGGGGCGCTCGGGACACCTGCGCGGGCGGGCGCCCCCGACGAAACCTCGGGCGCAGGGGCCGCCTGGCGGGGCGGCGGACGCGAGGCCGGGACCGCGCACCTGCGCAGGTGGACGCAGGGCCGACGAGGTGCGAGCGCGCGCGGAGGCCCCGCGGCGCCTCCTGCACGTCCTCCGCGTGGCCGTCCTCGGGTATGACCAGCTTCCCCCCCCTCGCATGACCAGCCCCCACGCCGGCCAAACTGTAAACCAACGAACACCGCTGCACGCTGACCCAGCAACACTCCACCCCGCGCGATAGCCGCAATCGGGTTAAACGTGCGCGTAGCGGCGGTCCGTCCGCGTGGCCGTCTCGACCTCGCAGCCGTCGACGTCGTGCTCTAGCTCCTGACTCGGCTGCCCTGCGCCCCGCAGCAAGCGGAGCAGCCAGCACCTTGCCATGCTGGGCCTGGTTCGGGCCGTCCAGGCTCCCCGAGGTGCCCTAGAGCCGCAGCAACCCCCTCCCACCAATTGGTGCAGCACCACTCCGATGACCGCTGGCAGAACCCAGACAGCCGAGACGCACCGGCAGCCTCCGCCAGGGAGGCCCGGCGCCATCGTCATGCCGCCGCCCTTCGCCAAGAGCTCCGACAGCGGCCCGCCATCGCGCCCTGCCGTGGGCGCTAGTCCGATCCTGGGCCCTCGAGCCGAAACTAGGAGGACGACGACGAGGACGAGGACGACGAGGACGAGGACGACGAGGACGAGGAGGAGGAGGAGGAGGAGGAGGAGGAGGAGGAGGCGGAGGCGGAGGAAGGAGGAGGAGGAGGAGGAGGAGGAGGAGGACGAGGAGGAGGAGGAGGAGGAGGGAGGAGGAGGAGGAGGAGGAGGAGGAGGAGGAGGAGGAGGAGGAAGGAGACCAGGACGAGGACGAGGACGACGGGACGAGGACGTGGACGTGGACGAGGAATATTTAGGGGGAGGAGGAGGAGGAGGAGGAGGAGGAGGGAGGAGGAGAAGGAGAAGGAGGAGGAGGAGGACGAGGAGGAGGAGGAGGAGGAGGAGGAGGAGGAGGAGGAGTCCTCATCCACCGTCTTCCTCCCACTCTTCCTCCTGAAGAATGGGATGGCAAGGGCTATTCCTTCTTGCGGGCAGTTGGACTCGCATTCGTAGAAGCGCAATCCAATTTTCCAATCCTCCACCCTCCATCCTCCACCCACCCCTGAGGAGAGACGCGAGAGGGCGGCCGCCGGGGTCCAGACGAGCCCGCGCCCTGCGCATCCGCAGCGCGCCTTCTGCACGCCCAGTGCCGTGGACCCGCCGCGCGGGGGGGGGGGGCGGACGGCTCGGCCGCGGCGCGGCCCGATCGCGTCGGCCGGCCGCGGCGCGGCCGGCGATCGCGGCCCGGTCGTGGCGAGGCCTCCGCGGCCGCGCGGCCCGGTCGCGGCGGAGTCCCAGCGGCCGGCCGCGGCTTGGCCGCGGCGCAGCGGAGTTCAGAGGTGCGGGGGGGGGAAAGTGCAGGTTCGAGGGTCAGGGGTGGGGTCTCGAGGTCCTCGGGCGTTTCTGGGCCTCTCCCAGGAGCTCCTCGTGGCAACGGCTGGACGTATCGCGGAAGGCGGCTCGGCCTCCCGCTCTCGGCAGCCCCCCCCCCACGGCCCCAGCCCTCACGATTAATTGACGCTTGGCGCTATAAAGGGCCCCAAACGTCCAGCAAGGACGTTGTAATTTCCAGCGTGGAGGTGTTTTCTCCAGCCTGGAGGAAAAAGCTTATTTCAGAGGCTTGGGACAGTCCCTCGAGGCTCTTCCAGGGCAGGCCATATTCTGGGAGCATCGGCTTTCTCTCGCGTCCAAGTGTTCTTCTCTGTGGGGCCTCTCGAAGACATCCTGGGGCCAGGGACGGCCAGAAGTGAGCAGGAACACAAGCACCCCCCAAAATACCATGAGCGCGAGATGCTTGCCGACGTGGGGTGGAAGCCGCATGACGACCACAGCGCAGACATGACTTCTCTGAGGCCCGCGCGGGCTTCTGCTGGTCGGCGCCGGGACCTCCCCGGCGGCGCCTCCCGCGCCGTTCCCGGCGCGCTGCGAGCGCTGGGGGGAGGGGGGCTCTGGCGCCGACCCGGGAGCTCCGCGCGGACCTCCGGCAGTCTCGGGCTGTGCGCTCGCGTTCCAGGATCGCCGAGCGCGTTCCACTGCACTCGCAAAGTCCCTCCTCGCAAGCGTCCGGAAGTAACACATGTCTGCTCTGAGGTAATTTCTCGTGGATCACCCGCGGGGGCTCCAGGCTACTTGCGGGTAGTGACTCTGCGAGTGGCGGAACGCGCTTGCCCAGACCCAGGAACTCCGCGCGGACCTCTGGCAGTCTCGGTCCGTGCACTCTCGTGCCAGGAGGTCCCGCGCGAAGATGGCCGAGGGGGCGAGCGCCCTCGGCCCCCGGCCCCGCCGCTCCTCTCACGACGTCGGGAGCTCGTGGCAGTACGGTCGAAATGGGTACACATTGTTCTACTTATTCGAGAGTTCTTTGACTTTTTGGGGGGCCAAGATCCTTTCGTTTCTACTTGTTCTATCCTGGGCCTCTTCCTGGCCACTAGGGGGCCAGGAACCATGAGGAGCGAGCACAAGTAGAAATGAGCACGATTAGACATGAACGACGTGTACGGAAAGGAGGGGCGCGAAGATTGACAGCCTCGGCTGCCTCGATACGCCCGTTCTGAGACGCAGCACGCAGTCACCGTGCTTGAAGCGTCCGTGCCGATGGTTGTTGCCTGTTGGCCCCCGCGTGTCGGCCCACGCGTTCTGGCGAGCGCATCGCTCCAGGCCTGCGTCTTCAGTCTGCGCGCTGAGCTCGGCATCCACACGCCACGGTGCTGCGTGCTGCGCATCGGTGCAGCTAAGGCTGACAGCAGCTGCGGCCCATCTTTGCACGGGGCTCGCGGTCGGTGCCGCCGCGGGCGGCTGTCCGTTGGAGGTGGGCGGCCGCCTGCCCAGCAGCGGCCGCCTGTCGGTTTTTGGGCCAGGGCTGGGCCCCAAACTGTGCTCCTGGTGGCTTCGTGGGCCGTCTTCGTTTCGATTTCGTTTGGCGGGAAAGGCGGATTCGAGACAAAAACGACAAACGAGGGAAACCGAAAAGAAAACGAAACCGAAGAGCACCGTTTGGGTCCAGCCCTGCTTTGGACCGACCACACTTGCTGGTGGGCATCGTGCCCACTTTTCCCTCAGCCAGCTCGGGCGTCCGAATCGGGGTGGCCGCCGCCGCTGCCGCCGCCCCCCCCGCCCCCCGCGCCAGGCGCCCTCCAGCAGCGCCACCTCTCGCGCCTGCTGCCGCTGCATGCTCCTCTCTCTCTCTTTCTCTCTTCTCTCTCTCTCTCTCTGTATTCTCTCTCTCTCTCTCTCTTCTGTCTCTCTCTCTCTCTCTCTCTTCTCTCTCTCTCTATTTCTCTCTCTCCTCTCTCTCTCTTTCTGTCTTCTCTCTCTCTCTCCTCTCTCTCTCTCTCTCTTCTTCTTATTATTTTTCTTCTTCTTCTTCTTCTTCTTCTTATTCTTCTCTCTCTCTCTTTCTCTTCTCTCTCTCGCTCTCTCTCGCTCTCTCTCCTCTCTCTCCCCTCTCCTCTCTCTCTCGCAGGAAAAAGATGTATCATTAACACGCCGGCGTTGGGGGCCGCTCAGCGTGCTGCTCCTGCGTCCTTGCCCCAAGGCATGGTGTCTGTTCGAAGAAGCGCTGGGCTGTGAGACATGGCCCACGGCCCATGGCAGCGTGCTGCCGTTGAAGATCGATCTTCAACGGGGTCACGCTGATGGCTTCCTCTCGGCAGCGTGTCCCTGATACCTCCCCGGTCCTCCTCGCCGTCCGCCTCCCCCTGCCCCTGCTGCTGCTGCTGCGGCTCCTGCATATGCTTATATGCCGTTTGTCGCTCCTCTGGTCACGCCCCCGCTGGCCCCGCCCGCGAGGATTGGCAGCTGGAGGACAGCGACCCGAGGCAGGCGGACGACATCACGATCCAGCTGCTGGGCTTCCGGCGAACCGCGCGCGACCTGCCCCCCACGGGCGCGGTGCACCTGGCGTGCCGCTTCTTCGTCTTCGCGCCCTCGGCGTCCTCCTCGGGGGTGGGCCCGGGGAGGTCCCACGTGCGAGAGGCAGAGCCCGTGGGGAGTGCTGCTTCCCTGCAGCCCCCACGCCTCCCCTCCTATCGAACTCCTCCCTCCCCCCTCCTACCTCCTACCTCCTACCTGCTCCTCCTCCTCCTCCTCCTCCTCCTCCTCCTCCTCCTCCTCCTACCTCCTCCTCCTCCTCCTCCTCCTCCTCCTCCTCCTCCTCCTCACGGCATGAGCAGATGTGTTGGGCGGTCCGCGCGGATTTCTTGGGTCGGCGGCGGGCCCCTCTGGCGGCGCCCACTGGCGCGCTCCGCGCGCCAAGGAACAAAAAGCACAGCACCGGAGCCCAAGAAATCCGCACAGGCCTCCGAAAGTGTGTGCTGATGTAGTTTCTTGCTTTTCTTGCTATTATTCTTCGTTTTCTTCTTCTTCTTTTCTTCCTCTTGTGATTATTATCCGTAGTATTAATAATATTACGTTTATTTTTAGAATATCAGTACGCTTACGACTATGAGGACGATTATGTTTATGATTCTTATTCGTAGTATTATCACGAATATAGTAAGTTTTATTGATCGCATTGTTATTATCATTATTTGTATTACTATTGTTGGTAGTAGTAGTAGTAGTAGTAGTAGTAGTAGTAGTATAGTAGTCGTAGTAGTAGTAAAGTAGTAGTAGTAGTAGTATAGTAGTAGTAGTAGTAGTAGTAGTAAGTAAGTAGGAGTATAGTAGTAGCATTACTACTAACAGTAGTATAGTAGTAGTATATTGTTGAGTTGTTGTTGGTTTGTTGTTAGTAATAGTATAGTAGTGTAGTACCACCATTCTCTAGTCGGTCGGGGCGTCGTCGTCGTCGTCGGTCGTCGTCGGTCGGTCTGTCGTCCGTCGTCGTCGTCGTAAGTCGGTAGTCGTAGTCGAGTAGTCGTGGTAGTTTTTCGTAGTTCGTCGTTAGTCGTAGTCGTTATCATATTCCGTAAGAGTCGTGTAGGATCCGGATGTCGTAGTCGTAGTCGTAGTCGTAGTCGTAGTCGTAAGTTATTAAGTATAGTAGAAAAGAGTAGTAGTAGTAGTAGAAGTAGTAGTAGTGGTAGTAGTAGTAGTCGTCGTAGTAGTAGTAGTAGTAGTAAGTAGTAGTAAGTAGTAGTAAGTAGTAGTAAGTAGTAGTAAGTAGTAGTAAGTAGTAGTAAGTAGTAGTAAGTAGTAGTAAGTAGTAGTAAGTAGTAGTAAGTAGTAGTAAGTAGTAGTAAGTAGTAGTAAGTAGTAGTAAGTAGTAGTAAGTAGTAGTAGGTAGTAGTAGGTAGTAGTAATTAGTAGTAAGTAGTAGTAAGTAGTAAGTAGTAGTAGTAGTAGTAGTAGTAGTAGTAGTAGTAGTAGTAGTAGTAGTAGTAGTAGTAGTAGTAGTAGTAGTAGTAGTAGTAGTAGTAATGTAGTAGTAATGTAGTAGTAATGTAGTAGTAGTAGTAGTAGTAGTAGTAGTAGTAGTAGTAGTAGTAGTAGTAGTAGTAGTAGTAGTAGTAGACGAAGAAGAAGTAGTAGTAGTAGTAGTAGTAGGAGTAGTAGTAGTAGTAGTAGTAGTAGTGGTAGTAGTAGTAGGAGTAGGAGTATTCAGAGGGGTAGGAGTAGTGGTTCCGGAGGCGGAAAGTAAGGAGTAGGAGTAGGAAGTAGGAGGTAGTAGTAGTATAGTAGTAGTAGTTTAGTAGTAGTAGTGTTGTCAGTTAATAGTATAGTATAGTTTTAGTAGTCAAGTTTTAGTAGTAGCTTTCGTAAGTATTTTAGTAGTAGTAGTAGTAGTAGTAGTTAGTAGTAGTAGTGTAGTAGTATTAGGTAGTAGTAGTAATGTTTACCCTAATGTATTATTAAAGTATTAGTGTGCTTGTTGGGCGCTGTAGTAAGAGAAGACAAAGGCAACCGAACGTAGGAGTAGGAGAGTAGTAGTAAGTAGTAGTAGTAGTAAGTGTAGTAAGTAGTAGGGTAGTATATAGGAGTAGTATATTAGTAGTAGGTAGGAGTAGGAGTACAGTACAGTAGCAGTGGCAGTAGCAGTTAACAATATTAGTATAGTAGAGTAGTAGTGTTAGTAATTGTTTAAAGTAGTTTAGTAAGTAGTTTAGTATAGTGAGTGTAGTAGTAGTAGTAGTAGTAGTAGTAGTAGTAGTGGTGGTGGTGGTGGTGGTGGTGGTGGTGGTGGTGGTGGTGGTGGTGGTAGTCGTAGTAGTAGTACCATGGTGCATAGCTTTATTCATAGCTTTATTATTGTGTTTATTATTGTTATTCTTCATCTTCTTATATTTATTGTTCTTCTTCCAACCCGTCCCCCCCTTCCTGCCCACCCGTACTCCGAGTTTCTGGGGGGTCCCGCCCGCTGCCGCGGAAGCGTCCACGGGCGAGGGTGGGCCCCTGCCGCTCTTGCCCGTGCAGGGAGGGGCGAGCGTCCGGCGAGGAGGCGAGGGAAGGCGGCGTGCGGTGGGGCAGGGGAGCCGGATGGAGGCCGAGCGGGGCTTCAGGAGGGAAAGAAACGCAGAGACACAATTAATCTTCGATCCCCCAGAAAATGTGGGAAGATATGGGAGGGAAGTGGGGGGGGGGGGGGAAGACGAAAATTTCGATAAGATAGGAAAATATAGGGAATCCTGTTATTTGTGTGTATTTATTTGTGTGTCCCAGGGCCCCCTCAGGGGAGGGGAGTGCGGCAACTCAAAATATGGGGAATCCTGTTATTTGTGTGTTGGAGGTGCGGGGAGGGCACCGGGTGGCAGAGGGAGGCGCCGAGGTCCGAGGGCGGGGGCAGGAGGGAGGCGGGCAGCGGGGCAGCGGTGGCAGCAGGAGCTCGAGCGCGAGCGTGATCTGCAGCGGCCGCGGCAGCGATCACGCGAGGTGCGAGCCCCCCCGTCGTCCCCCCGAAACGATGTTGACAGGTTCGGAATGCAGCTGGATCACTGGTCCACGGTCCGCGACGAGTCTCGCCCGCGCTGCAGCCGGCAGCTGGCCTGTGGGCTCCCCATGGGACGCGCAAGGTCCTCCCAGCAGGGTCCATGCCGACTCTGTGGATTCGAATCGATTCGGTTTCGAGGATTCCGATGTCTATTCGCTTCGACTCTGGATGCCGATTTCGATATGCCTGCCGATTCCTGCCGATTCGACCCATCTCGGTGGCCGATCCGATGTTCCATGAACTTCCCATTCAGTTCGGGGGCGCCCTGGTTATCCACAGAGGGCATCTTCATACCACCACCATCCCTGGCCAGGGCCACCCCAGGCGCTCCCAGTGGCGTAAGTGCGCTCATGGCCTCGGCCAGCACGGCGGAGAAAAAAAAGCCACGCTGGGGCCCAGGATGGCCCGGTCCAGGCCTGGCGGCGGTGATAAGGCGCACGAGCGAGGATGCGACCAGAGGCTGCTCAAGATCGACCTCCAGGACGCCTCCCGGACGTCGGCGCTGGCTCGCCTCGGCTTCCGACAGCCCCATCCCGGAGGCCGAGAGCAAGGGTTCACTTCGATCCGATCGATGCGAGTCGGTTCGGTATCGCCTCCGGCTGGCTCGATCCGACTCGATTCCGACACCTTGGCGGTCCGACGCGGCCCGATGCTTGCATGGCGCTGTTGTGCATCCTGGCCCGGCCGCTCCGATTCGATCTCGACCCCGTGCCCATGCAGCCCGATCCGACGCAGATTCCGACCCGGTCCGACCTCCCGCTTCGGTGCTGACTACTCCTGGAGAGCGGCGAGCTGCCTCTCCGCCCCTCGCCGTCGTTCGCCGCCGCCGACGACGCCGACGACGCTGACGCCGACGACGACGGCGACAACGACGACGACGACGGCAACGACGACGACGACGGCGGCGACGACGACGACGACGGCGGCGACGACGACGGCGACGCCGACGGCGGCGACGAAGACGACGGCGACGACGACGACGACGACGACGACGACGACGACGATGACGGCGACGACGGCGGCGACGGCGGCGACGACAACGATGACGGCAATGACGACGACGACGGCGGCGACGCCGACGGCGACGGGGCCGGCGGCGACGACGACGGCGGCGAGGCCAGCGACGGCGACGACGACGGCGACGGCGGCGAGGCCAGCGACGGCGGCGACGGCGGCGGCGACGACGACGACGACGACGACGACGACGACGACGACGACGACGACGACGGCAGCAGCGGCGACGACGACGCCATACGAGCGGCCAGAGCGCGGGCGGGAGGCCAACAGCGAAGCGCCAGGGGGGGGGGGTGCCAGGCGGATTCGCGGCTGGCCGGAGGCGGCCAGCGCGCAGGCCACCCGGCGGCGCTGCGCTTCGTGGTGGCTGGGGGCGACGGGCCGGGCTCGCACAGGAGCGCCCCGGAGATCGGGAGGCGGCGGGGGCAGCCGAGGCGGGGGGGGAGGGGCGCGAGGCTCGAGGATTGGAGTGCCTTTGCCGCTGTCGGCCTCGCGAGGCGCGCGTCGGGCCCCTGGGGGCCGAGGCCAGGACGGACCCCTGGAGGGGTCGGGGAGTCGGGGAGGTCAGGAGGGCTCTCGCCCTTCGTCGGGCCGTGCGGGGGGCCCGTGGCCTTCTCGCCCCCGCCTCGTGGCGCTCTCGCTGCCGGCGCCCCGCAGGAGCCTCACCGAGTACCTCGCCTCGCGCGCGGCGGAAGTGGAGCTGTGGAGCTCCGAGGCGAGGCGGCAGAGGGAGGGCGGTGGGGGACGGGTGCCCGTTGCTCTTCGGCGCGCCGTGCCCTCCGCGGCGTCCAGGGAAACACTGGGCGCCCCTGCCCGCGTCCTCGTCCCCGCTCCCTGTCGTCCTCCGCCCCCCCCCCCCCCTTCCTTGCTTCCTTGCCCCACCGCCTACCAAACCACCCCAACCCAACCCTGAGGCCCCGATTCGCCCTCCATTTCCAGTGTGGGGGGGTCGGGGAACATGGGAAAAACACAGTTGAAGCCCGTAGCCTGCACCCCAACCCGAAATTCGGGTCTTCGGGTTGAGTTGGGGTAGTCTGGTAGGCAGTCCTAGCCCTCGGCGGTGGACGCTCTATCCATGGCCCCGCCGAACCCCGCCCCCCCGCCTGGGCGGCAGGGAGGCAAGGGGCCTGGGTAAAAATCAGGTTCTTCAGAGTCGCGGGCTCTTATCCTTGCCACCTGCCCTGCCCATCGGAGAGGCGTGGCAGGAGCAAATGCTTCGCGCCGCATCGACGCGGCGGCGACGCGGGTGCCGGCGTTCCAGGTTGAAGACCACGGGCGGCCTGACTCAGGCCAATGTTGAGCGATCTCCGCGGTCGGATGGTGGAGATCGTTCACGATAGATCCGCCCGGTCTCAGAGGCCAAGGTCCGCGTCGTATCGACAGGAAGTAGTAGCGTGGACTTAATGCCACATATCGGAGAGCCGTTGCAGACGCACAGGAACACAAGGCACATCAAGTAATAAACCAGTCCCCAAGCAGGCGCCCCACTGATTTGTCTTATCCCCCACTGGTTCTGGGGGGCCGTGGGACACCTCAGTAAGTCAAAAGGTCGAACACACACACACACACCTTGCAGCTCCTGAGGAATCTCCTACAGAAAGATTTCTTGGCGTATGCATTTATCGACTCTAATGACGGAACGTCGATGCTGCCTCGTTGACGCGGCGGCCACACCAGCGCAGGCGTTCAAGGTTGGACGCCACGATTCAGCTGGAATCGGCTGATGTGGAACGACCTGCGCTATCGGAAAGCCCCGATCGTGTGAGGTTGAACCGGTTCACGCGGTGCCGGAAGCCAGCGCCGTCGCGCTCGCGACGCGAACCTGCATCGTGGATAGAATGCCCCAGCGCGCACAGAGGGGGCCAGGAGGAGAGGGGAGGAGGAGGAGGAGAAGAAGGAGGAGGAGGAGGAGGACGAAGAGGATGAGGATGAGGATGAGGATGAGGATGAGGATGAGGACGAAGAGGATGAGGATGAGGATGAGGATGAGGATGAGGATGAGGATGAGGATGAGGAGGAGGAGGAGGAGGAAGAGGAGGAGGAGGAGGAGGACCACCGTGGGCTCGACAGACAATTGAGATGAGGACCACCCTGGGCTCGTGAGAGGCTGCCGCTTTCGGGCCGCTCCTCAGATCCAGGTCGGGGAGCCTGCTCGAAGCCGAGGCTCGCCGTGGCCAAAAAACGCCCCCTCGTTCCTTCTTTGGCGTTCCGTCTGGCAGGACGCTGGCTGTGCGGTCGGACCGAGGTATTATATATCATGTCGGGCGTGTCCCCCTACAGGGGGATTTTCGACGAGAAATATAAAATACCCCAAAAATACCCCCAAGAAGGTAAAAACACACACAAAAAATAGTCCCCTGATTATTTTCGGATTATGTTTTTGATTTTTGTTCGCGTATTTTTATCTTTCGTCGAAAATCCCCCTGTATGGGGACAGGCCCGACTTAAAGATAGACCTCCTACCCTGACATGTCGATTAGCGAATTGGCCGTTTTCGGTTCGCGAGGAGGCGTCGCGGCCGTCATTTTTGCGCGTCCAGGTCCGTCGGTTTCGGTCCCAGGCCGTTTTCACTAAAGGGTGGTTTACTAAAGGGAGGTTTGTCCACCGCCGATATAGGATCGTAGTCGGCTCCAGGAGGGTACCCTAATGTTCTTCGGGTTCGTTGGAAGCTCTTGTGCATCCTGGGGGAGGGTACTCGTGGATGTTCTGTGTGCGTTGGCCGACGGAGGGTCTCATGCTCTTGAAGGGTGCTCCTCTGCCCTGGGCTCCGACTGCAGCGCGAGGGGGGGCGCCAGCCTTCCGAGAGGGCGGGCGGGCTTCTCGAAGGGCCGGCCTCCGAGGAGGCCTCTCTCCCAGGAGGGAGGGGCGACACACACACACACAGGCAGAACGAATCGTCGAGGGCCCCAGGAGAGTTTGGGAAACACAGTCAGCCCGCATAGCTAGGATGGGCAGCTTTTCAAGGTTGCCCCTGCATCCTTCCCCTTCGGCCCATCCTTGGCCGCCTTCGCTGGCCGCGCCCCGCCCGCAAAGTGTTGACACGGCCTTCCAAGGCCCTTCATCCTTACACTCTGGGCGATGCTTGAGGAAACTTAAGTTTTCGGCCAGAGTCTCGATGATTCTTAATGTTTCAATGTAAATCCTCAGCTTTTGATGGAAATTCTGGGTTGTTATTCAAATTCTGAGACTATGAATCTCTTAACCCATTATTTCTTAAGCATTTCGCAGGGTGTATCATGCGTCCCAATTGTAGACGGGTTGACTGCATGGGAAGTGGAGGGGGAGACGGACGCCCAGGAGATGTGGAGAGCATGGGTGCTCCTGGGGCTTTTGTGCCTGTTTGCTTGTGTGTCCTGGGGCCCCTGCACTCTCACGGGGGGCCATGTGCAGCTGGGGATGGATACGGAAGCGTGGCCTCGGAGGCCGGGATTTGATGTGCACCTCCCCGCTCTGGCCCCCCGTGGGGCTCGGGGCGTGCGCGGGGGGCACGGCTGAGCTAGCCGAGCGCCTGCAAGAGGCCCCCAGCCCTCAGAGGCAGCCCCTGCGCCCTCCTCGGAGGGCCGCCGCGCGCCACGCCGCCGACCCCTTCGCGCGCGCCGGACCCCCGCTGCGCCCACGCACGGGAGCGACGCAAGATAACGAGGTCGTCTGCGCCGACCTTAGCGCGCAGGCTGGCCGCGTAAGGTCACGCGCGAGCGCCCTCGTCTCCAATGCAGCGTGCCGCGCTCGCGGCCGCGTAAGCCGCAGAGTAAGGTCGCCATGCCATCTCGCGCAAGACCCGTTTTCGCTCGGCGCTCGTCTGTCTTCGGGCCACACCTCGGGCCTCGAGCGGCGGTTTGGGGGACAGCTCTGGCATCTCAAGGGCGCCCTCGGCGGGGCGCAGCTGACAGAGGTCACCCTGGGCCCCGAAGGCCTCCGAGAGTTTCCGCGCACCTTCCGAAGCCGAGAACTGTACAGCTGGCCCCGGCTCGGTCCGGTGCGGTCCGGCTCGGCGGGCCTTCGTGTCGGTTCGGCCGGTCCGGTCCAGATCGCCGCTTCTGGTTCGGTCCATCCAGTCCGATTCGGCCAGTCGGTTCGGCCGGTCGGGTTCGAATATCGGCCGCTCGGTTCGGCCGGTTCGGTCCGTTTCGGCCGGTTCGGTTCGGACGGGGGGGTCCGGTTCGGCCGGCTCAGTTCCAAGACACCTTCTCATGTTTCCCCACCTTATTTCGAAGTGGAACATCTTTGGAAATGGAGGCGACGACGTCGACGACGGTGACGACGACGGTGACGACGACGACGAAGACGAGAGCGGCCGGGGCGCTGGCCCGCGCTGGTGGCGCCGCACCGCGACCAAGGCGCCCTGCTGACCCCGCGCGTGGGAGCGGGAGAGCGGGAGAGGGCGGGGCGGGAGCGAGGGAACGGAGGGAGGGAGCGGGAGCGGGAGCGGTGGAGGGAGAGAGAGAGTGAGGGTGAGAGGGGGAGGAGATGGAGAGGAGGAGAATGGAGGGAGGAGAAGGGAGGGAAAGAAGGGGGAGGGAGGGCCCCCCTCGCCCTGCGGCGCCAGCGGGGGCGCCTCCGCTTCGGTCGGAAGCCGCGCCGCCCGCGGGGGTGAGGGAGGTCCTGGGGGGCCCCGGGGGGTCCTGGGAGTTCCTGCGGGGTCCTGGGGGGTCCTGGGGGGTCATGGGAGGTCCTGGGGGTCCTGGGGGGTCCTGGGGGGTCTTGGGAGGTCCCGGGGGTCCTGTGGGGTCTTGGAGGGTTCTCTGGGAGGGTCCTCCAGGGTCCTGGGGGGTCCTCGTCAGGGGTGTCGGGTCCTCCGGGGGGGTCATGGGGGGTCCTGGGGAGTCCTTGGGGGTCCTGGGGGGTCCCGGGGAGTTCTGGGGGGTCCTGGGGGGTCCTGGGGGGTCCATCGCATGCCCCGCCAGCGGGGTCGCGTCCGGTTCGGCCGGTTCGGTTCGTCGGGCCGGTTGGGTCTGGCCAGTTCGGTCGGTCGGTCCGGTTCGGTCCGATTCTGCCGGCTCGGTTCGATGGCCGGTCCGGTGCGGCCCGGCCGGTTCGGTTCGAGGACCTGGTCTCGGTTCTCGGTCCGCTTCGCGGCCATTAGGTATGCAGAACTTCCCACGCGGACTTTCCGAGACACTCCTACAGACTTTCCAAGACACTTCGACCCTCGAGCTTGGAACTTGTCGGTCGCCCGACCCCTCCCCCCGACCCCCGACGTCATAATTTTTTCATGACGTCGACCCCCCGAGGTCTCGACCCATTCCCGGGGCCGGTTTTTCGTCCTGAGTCGTTTTTTGACGGTGTCGAGGGCCGGTAAGGGCCCCCCAAGGCCGAAAATTACGAAGAAAACCCGTCGTGATTTTTTCATAACTCGAGGGGGTCTGGGCCCCCGGAGCGAAGCGCAACGTCTCCGGCCCAACGTTCCGACTCCGGCTCGCAGCAGTCCAGATGCCAGACGGAGCCCGACAGCGCCGCGGCGCGACGTGCGACCTTCTTCGGAGCCCGGGCCCGCCCGCGCTGCCCTCGCAGGGCTGGTCCGTCGGGCCAGCGATGAGCCCTCCGCTCCGCTCCTCGCCACCCACCAAACCACCCCAACCCAACCCGAAGGCTCCAATTTGCCCTCCATTTCCAGTGGGGGGGGATCGGGGAACATCGAAAAAACACATGGTCCCCGTACCCCCCCCCCAACCCGAAATTCGGGTCAAATTCGTGTCTTCGGGTTGGGTTGGGGTGGTCTGGTAGGTAGTCAGCTCCTCCAGTCGGTCGCTCGACCGTTTAGGCGTCGGAAACAATCAAAGCAGCACCCACGCGTAACATACGGTTTGAATTCCCAGCCCTTCCCCCAGAATGTAATGCTGATTGGGATCTTCCGACTTTGAATTGCGGGTGAAGGGGGACTGTTTCTTATTGGTTCCCCCAACCGGTCCTCCCCGGCTGCCTGGAGGCCCTCCTGCCGGTCGGCACGGCAACCGTGCCGCTGGCAGGGCTGGTCCGCAGGGGCGAGCGCGCCGCGTCCGTGGAGGGCGATTTCGCGGTGCTGAGCCAGGACCCTCCCCAGCGGAGATCGTCGATCGGGAGGAAGGGATTCGTTGGAGTATGGAGACTGATTGAGATGTGATCCCGTCAACAGAGGCCGGCACGCAACTCGCAGAGCGCCAGTCAGACTAGAGACTCTGCACGGGCACCGAGGAGCTCTGAGAGCAGTGTCCTTCCCGCCCCTGTGTCACCATCCCTCCGAAAGACAACTCCTCAAATCAAACAGCTGGGTAGACATCGGGTCGCACACAGAATCGACTACTGTATCGTGGGCACTCGGCCACTCGGGAGGGGGAGGGAGGTATGGTTGGATGGAGGGAGGGAGGATGCATGATACCGAGAAGGAGAGAGTAAGACTGGGACACATATCTGATAGCCCCAGCCTCGGGAGGAAGCGGCACTCAACTGGCCAACTGAAGCCAGAGGTGGATCCCAAACAGTGCACAGCAGGCGCTGACTGAGGAAAACAACGCTGGCGTGAACATGTGGCACGGGCGCCAAGCATAGCTCAGCAATACAAACAGCCTCAGCGACGAAACCGACGGGACACGTCGTCCCGAAGCGCCGAGGCCAGAGAGGGAACAAATCCAACCCATTCTGTGCACCCCCCGCACTCTTGGCATCTTTTCCCCACCTCAAGAAGCTTGGCCGGCATCGGCTCGGGCTCCAGGCAGACAGACTGATAGGGGAACTCGGCCAGTCATGAGGGGGAGGGAGGGAGGGAGGGGGGAAGGATGACGTTAAACGAGAGGGAGGGAAGAGGTTGGGACACAAACCTAACATCTCAGGCACTCCTTTCCGTCACCTCGGAAGCAAGCACATGGAAAACGCGGCGCGGGCGAAAAAGTGTTGTTGGATCCTACGTGACCGACCACTGTCGAGCAACTGAAGGCTCTGCGACGGCCACCAATCGTCTGCTCCGTCCTCTATCCTCCTTTCCAGCCAGCAGTCAGAAAGAAATGCGTCAGGGCGGAGGGAAGCAGGGGCGACACATAGCAGCACAGGCGAAAACATGCTGTTGGGCCCCACGTGGCCCGACCACTTTGGAGCAGCTAAAGGCTCTGCGACGGTCCATTGTCTGCTCCGTCATCCGTCCTCCTTCCCAGCCAACAAGTCAGAAACAGACGCGCGAGGGCGGAGGGCAGCAGGGGCGAAACGGGGGCGTCCCATCGAGCGGGGGGGGGGGCGCGCGCAGAGTGCACAGGGCGGGTGGTAATGGCAATGGGGGGTGGCCCAAGTTAGGGTTGAAGCAGAGGGCCCCTTTAAGGCTCGTTTCTTCACCCCCCATTGAGGTCTCTTCGCCTCCGAGGGAGTGTTTCCGCAATGATTCGTTGGGCAATGATCTCGTCAATATCAACTGGCGACGTCTGAATCTCAGGGAGGCGGCTCAGGAAAAGGTCCTGGCTGCACCCACCTGCGCGCGCATGCGGATTCTCGCACCGTCCACAAGCCCGTCCACGTGATCCGACAGAGGACGATCAGCTGGAGGAGATCCAGAGTAAGGCCTGAACGCGCCCATTTCCCACCCCTCCGGCAACGGCGCACTCGCAGCGCCGCGTGGAGGCACACGAGCGGCAGCAGGCCGATGGCCCCCGGACGCGGCGGCGGCATCGGCGCCAGCAGCGGCAGCACGGCCCAGAGCCACGCACTGCCAGTAGTCAGCTGAGAGGGGCCGCGCCCCGCTTCAGCACGGGGAGACGCGTCCCTTCCGCCGTCAGCTTGCCCTGTGCCACCAGCGGGCCTCCTGGCATTCGGAGGGTCCACAGCAGCTGAGACGGCGTCGTCTGGCGCCGATCCTGGCACGGGGGCGCTCATCTGGCGCCCGTCCTCGGCCTGGCGCTCAGCCCCGGCATGTACACTGCGAGCAGGGCCAGTACCCGTAGCGCCACTATGGATGGCGCCAAGGCGGTTCGGGACGTCGTCGACTCGCAAAGGCTGGGACAGGTAGCCTGGCAGCTTGCTGGTGATACCCAGAATGGCCGTGGCCCGAGCCTGCATGGCCGGCGAGGGGCTCGCGGGGGATGGCGAGGCGGCCGGCGCCTCCGTGGCCGCCCGCACGCGCAGCTCCCGAGGGCTGCGCAGGCGAGGAGGCCGCTGCCTGTGGAACTGCTGCTGCTGCTGCTGCTGCTGCTGCTGCTGCTGCTGCTGCTGCTGCTGCCGAGGAGCTGCGCGTGCACCAATTACCTGGCCCTTCCCTTTCCCCTCTCGGGTACTTACTTCCCGGGGCCGGGCTCGTCCCGCAGTGGGGCCAGCCTCGGGCAGGTCATGGGACTGGGCGGTGGCAGCAGCGCGCGACTTCACGCCCGATGGAAGAGGCTCAGCACTAGCTGGCTGCGCAGAAGGGGCTGCATGAGGTGGTAGAGCCGGAGCACCAGCGCGAACACGATGAGCATACTCAGCCCCAGGAGCGCCGCGATCTGGCAGCGCGACGACCGCAGCAGCAGGGCACCTGGCTTCGGGCAGGGTCACCTCCGATGGTGCAGCGCCACGTCGAGGAACACGGTCGGCAGCGGGCCGAGAGCCTTCATGTGCGCCCCGAGCTCTTGCAGCAGGATGACCTCCGCGGTCGTCGCGTCGAGCCCGGGCGAGGTGCCACCCCCCCTCGGGTTGCGTGCGGCCAGCGCCTACACTTGCGCATGCCGGACGGCCACCCTGCGCGCCCTGAGACGGCGTCTGCCAGCGTCGACTAGACGTAAGAGTGACCTTTCGCCGGAGTGACCTTTGGTGCGGCCGAATGGGGTCCCCCGATCGCCGAACGCGATGCGGTGGTAGCGTCTTGCGCGCTTGTGTTTGGTCCCCCCGCGGCCCCCCAAAAAGCCGCGCACCAAAGGTCACTCTTACCCAGGGTCACTCTTGCGTGTAGCCGACAGCGGCGGAGGCCAAGCCGGATGGGCGGCACAGCATGTGGCAGAACATCAGCACGCAGCCATGACAGGGGCACGGCTGACCTGCGACGCGCCGAGGAATCGGCGGAGCCGGCGCGTCTGGCAGCTGTTCCGACGAGGTCGGAGGCGAAGGGGCGCTGGTCCAACCTCGATGCGGGACGGCGGCCGGGAGGAAGGGGAGCAGGGAGGAGGAGAGGGGAGGAGGAGGGAGGGAGAGGGAGGAGGAGGAGGAGGGAGGAGGGAGGAGGAGGGAGAGAGGCAGAGGGAGGAGGGAGGAGGAAGAAGGGAGGGAGGGAGGGGGGAGGTGGGAGGGGAGGGAGGAGGGAGGAGGGAGGAGGGAGGGAGGGAGGGAGGGAGGAAGAGGGAGGGAGGCGGAGGAGGAGGAGGACGAGGGAGGAGGGAGGGAGGGAGGGAGGGAGGGGGAGGGAGGGAGGAGAGGAGGGGAGGGAGGGAGGGGAGGAGGGAGAGAGGAGGAGGAGGAGGAGGAGGAAGAGGAGGAGGAGGTGGAGGAGGAGGAGCAGGTGGAGGAGGAGGGGGAGGAGGAGGACCAGCACGCAGATCGAATTCTGAGTTCGATTGTCTCGGCCCGTCTTGCCAGGCGGGAGCCCCCCCGAGCTCTCCTCTCTGACGACTTGGGCCAGGGGCAGTGGGGGCCGCAAAATTTTCGGCGAGCGGAAGACCACTTTTAACCCGAGACGCACCAACGATGTTGCAATAAACCCTCCTTCCGAGTTCCCTCTTCGTGGGCACCTACAACAATTTCTATTCATTGCGGCAAGTGCCCCGTTGGGAAGACAACCGTCTCAGAGTTTTCAATCGTGCCAGAACGTATTCTTGAGACACCAGCGCCGCGAATGCATGTGATTGCTGTGTCCAGACAGTCTTAATTTTAGCCAGAACACAGTTCTTCAATCATACGAGTCCTTGAAGCATTTACAGCGGGAGCGACATGTTGAAACTGACCCGCTCTCCGTCCGTGAAGCTGTTGCAAACTTTGGGGACGAATGTGCGCGGCGCTAAGGCGAGAGCCACATGTTTCAAGACGATCTGATCTCCAGCCGTGCCTACCGACACGTCTAGTGGTGCGACAGGGAGGAGGTTTGTACAAGAAAAGGGGATGGAGGAGGAGGAGGCGGAGGAGGAAAGAGGAGGTGGAGGAGGAGAGGGATTAAAGCAGATCTCCAGGGGATTGTTTTTCAATCCCGGCTCGTTTCCTCCATAGAGCATACAAATAGTTAGCATCCTCTTGTGTGAGGGCAGTATTCCGTGGGTAAGTGTGGAGGAAGGCACCGAGGAGGACCACATTTACCATACGACGACCGCGAAGACGAGCTCGACGACGACGGCGCCGACGACGACGACATAACAACAACAAGGACGACGACGAAGACGACGTCGACGACGCCCAGCACGACGACCTGGAGGACGACGACGGCGACGACCGCGACGCCGCCGACGTCCAGGTCGATGATGAAGACGACGGCGAGAAAGATGACGATCAGGAGATAAGGACGACGACGACGACGACGACGACGACGACGACGACGACGACGGCGACGGCGACGGCGACGGCGACGGCGACGGCGATGGCGACGGCGATGGCGACGGCGACGACGACGGCGACGACGACGGCGACGACGATCGGAGGGCACCAACTATACACCAACACCGATCCTGGCCCAGGGTGATCCTGGCTTGGTGTATAGTTGGTGCCTTCCTAGACGACGACGACGACGAGAACGGCGACGACGACGACGACGACGACGAGAACGGCGACGACGACGAGGGCGACAGCCCGCCACGCCGCCCGCGACACGAGGGAGCTCTGCGGCTGGGCGCAGCTGCTGCTGACCTGCCGGGGGCGGCAGGGTGGCCCGACGCCCCCGAAGGGTAGGGCCCAGGAGCGGGGGCGCCCGGCCTCGCGCAGGGAGGAGGAGCGAGGAGGAGGAGGAGGAGGAGGAGGAGGAGGAGGAGGAGGAGGAGAGGAGAGGAGGAGGAGGAGGAGGAGGAGGAGGAAGGAGGAGAGGAGGAGGAGGAGGAGGAGGGGGAGGAGGAGGGAGGAGGAGGAGGAGGGAGGAGGGGGGGGAGGAGGAGGAGGAGGAGGAGGAGAGGAGGAAGGAGGAGGAGGCAGGAGGAGGAGGAGGAGGAGGAGGAGGTAGGAGGAGGAAGGAGGAGGAGGAGGAGGAGGAGGAGGAGCGAGGAGGAGCGAGGAGGAGGAGGAGGAGGAGGAGGAGGAGGAGGAGGAGGAGGAGAGGAGGAGGAGGAGGAGGAGGAGGAGGAGGAGAGAGGAGGAGGAGGAGGAGTGGGAGGAGAGAGGAGGAGGAGGAGGAGGAGGAGGAGGAGGAGGAGGAGGAGGAGGAGGAGGAGGAGGAGGGAGGAGGAGGGAGGAGGAGGAGGAGGAGGAGGAGGAGGAGGAGGAGGAGGAGCGAGGTAAATCGAGATAGATCGAGATAAATCCGTTACAGCTTGTTCCGGAGCGTTCTCAGAGCGTTCTGAGGCGCTCTGAAACGGCCGCGGCGCCCGATACATCCTCCAAGACTCCAAACCCGCCCACTCTCAAAGATTTCTGATTTATATCGGTCCGAGTTTGTCTCAGTTCTGCTGTGGTCTTAGTTAAACAGCTGCTGCGCGAGCCTGTGTCCACGTGCGTCAGTAGGGAGGGGAGGGCAGGGCGAGGCGGGCGGGGCGAGGGGGGGGAGGAGAGAGCGAGGGCGAAGGAAACGGCGAGGGCGAGGAGGAGGGAGCGGGCGGGGGAGGGGGAGGGGAGGCCATGGGGAGGGCGAGGGCGAGGGGGAGGGGAGGGCGAGGGGAGGGCGAGGCGGGCGAGGCGAGGCAGCGGAGGCAGTGGAAGAAGGGGCCCCGCCGGCGGCGGCGCCCCCAGGAGCCGAGGGCGCCGGTGGCCAGGGCGCGCGCCGCGCGCCGCCTCGAGGCAGCCGTGCCCGAGGGAGCTCGCGGGCAGCGGGCGCGGGGGGGGGGGGGGTCCCGGGGGGCCTCGGAGGCGTGAGGCGAGGACGCGGCGACCTCCTGCGCGTCGGCTCTCAGTCGGGCATGTCCCTCTGCAGGAGGACTGTTCACAAATAGTTTAGAAGATAGTCGGGGGATGCTTTTTCCACTATTCTGAGGCATTTTTGAACATGTTTTGACTATCTGCTATTTTTCCTCCCAAATCCGCCTGTAGGAGGACACGCCCGACCTAGGGTAGCAGCGCGGGGGGAGGTTCCGGGATCGGGGGCCTCGGAGGCGTGAGGCGAGGTCGCGGCGACCTTTGCGCGTTGGCTCCCGCACGCGCCTGGCGCCGAGCAGCGCACGGGAACGCGCATGCCTGGGCGCGGCCTCGCGCGCGGGCAGCGTGCGCGCGAGCGTCCGCGCGGTCGAGTCACCCCCCCCTTCCTGTCTTGGGGGCGCCCGAGGGGGCGTGGAGGAGGGGGCTGCACGAGGATCAGGGGGGACGGCTGATGGACCAAGCCCTGCACCTTGTAATGATGCTGATTTTTGGTGAACACCCCCCGCGCCCCCAATATCAGTATTTGGCGACCTGCGACGCGATGTGTCGATCTGTCGACTGGCCGAAATCCTGCACCCCGCTGCCGATGCCAACCAGCAGTGGATCGGGGGCAGGGGGGAGGCGCGTTGCAGTTCGCGCCGGCACGCTGGTTGCGCGGGCGGTGCGATGATGTTCCAACCAAGTTAAGCCTCGATCACTGGAAAGAATTTCGAGCACCAAGAGAGTACCGAAACCAGAGGGTTTTCACGTGTCGGGCCCTGGGAGGCGATACTCGTTCGACATTGTTTCGATACTTTCTTGGGTGCTTCAAATTATTTGTGGGATGTGATCCTGAAGTACGATGGGGACAACATGAGGGCGGTTCTGGATTTTGTCCAGCAGCCAGAGACGTGTCCTGGCAGGTGCCATGGGATCTCCCGGGTTCTGCGGCCTGGGTTGGCTCGTCCGCGTACATGCCTCGGGTCGCAGTGTGGTGACCCCCCTCTTTTTGTGGCCTCCTTGTTCCGCGCGCCCGATGGTCGAGGTCTGGGATGTTTGAGGGTCGAAGGTTTTGGGCATGTCTGCCATTTTCGAGCTTCTTGGGCCTCTGGAGGCCACCGAGCCTCTTGGGATCTCCAGACGACCTGCAGGGACCTCCAGCTCCAGAGAGCATTGAGGACTGAGGATCGATACCGTCGGGCGTCCTTCGCTTTTCGGGGCCTCCAGGAGGCTTCTCATCGCCGCGGCCGGATCCGCTTCAGAACTGATCCCTGTAGAAATCCAGGAGCCGACCTCTCGA